ATAATAAGAGGTGCATACCTGTACCCCAACACTCAGTTGGCTGAGGATACAGGGCTTGCCAGTCCTTGGCAGCCTGTACTACATACAGAGAGCTGGTGTCAACTAAGAGGAGAGGAAAAAAGAAAGGATTTCTCATTTGAGAGGACTGATAGTCATGTCACTGTTTAGTCAGAGTCATGAGTTTTGGAAAAGGGAAGGAAATACCATGAGTATAGGTCTAGAGAGTATTGAGGAAGAACAGGTAAGGCAGGACTGGAGAACTGTACATAATGTGTGTGTGTGTGTGTGTGTGTGTGTGTGTGTGTGTGTGTGTCTGTCCCCACTCTTTGATCAAAATTGTAGACCAGGAATATTCATCTAGTGCTTTTTTCTTTTCCATTCATTTATTTAGCTCATAAATTAAGTCATGCACAATTATGATACACAATACAGTAAGTTCACAATGGCATGGCTAAATTAAACCAATTAACATGTTTATTAACATGGAATAGTCATCCAGTGCTTTTAAAACCTATTTTGTATTTTTTGGGACATGGTTTCTCTGTGTAAACCTCACTGTGTGGGAACTCACTCTGTAGCCCAGGCTGCAGACCAGAACTTACAGAGTTCAACCTGATTCCACTCCGAATCCTGGGTTTAAAGGGGTTCTCCACTAGGATTGGCTTTGACCTAAATGTTCAAATCAGGTGTCTCACTGGTCTCAGGCCAGCAAGCTCCCATTCATTCCTTTCTTCTCTATAGGCCTAAGATGACACAAGGATGCTGCCACAGCCTGATTTCACAGTCTTTCCCTTCACCCAGCACCCAAATCTTGTGTCCACATCTCAGAGTTCAAATACTCAGAATGTGCATGTAGTTTGTGAGACTGAGTGAGACTCAACCTGGAACTCCCTACACTGGCCTGGACCTAAACATGCCAGAGTGGTTCATATTCAGAAATTCTGCATTGGGGATGTTAGACAAGAAGATGAGGGTCCTGCTCAAGTTGATCTTTGCTTACAGAATGGCATACTTGGGACAGATAGACTTTGACTAAACCACAAATGCTCACAGTTTCCAGTGCACCTGAGGAGGACCGAGGCAGCAGCACCTCATGAATAAAAAGCCAGTCTGACCTATACATAGAGTTTCAGTCCAGCCCGAGTTATAGGGCAAGACTCTGTGTGAACACTATTAGCAAACAAGGAAAAGAGTTTGTGGCAATACTATTCGAACTAATCAAAGTGGACCAAACCAAACCTCAGAAAATAAAGTGGCAGTGTGCCAACTGTTAGGGAAGGAAATCCAATTTGTATCTTGGAAGGTAGACAGAATTGGTCCCTTAGCATATTTCTGTGAATCTGTTAATATTAAGGTGGGTGTCAAGGTCTCATGACATTTTTCTTGGTTATAATTGCATGTATCTATTCCAGTCAATTGAAATGTTATGTATGTCTGTATTTGGGTTTGCTGTTTATGGGCTTCCTCAGGGTTTAATGATACTTTGGGGAATGCGGTTTAAGACAGAGCCACCGATCTTTCTGGAAATAGTTTATGTAGTAGCAGAGACACAGAGACACAAAGATGGAGGCGGGGAAAGACCAGAGAGGGAGAGGGATGGAGGGATGGCGGGAAGGTACTCACTCCATTTTCCAGTGAATGGAGAACAGGAGAACAGTATTGTTGCATTACTGTGATCAGAATGCCAAGCCAGATCTCCAACCCAGGCTGGACAGAGTCTCCACAGAAGTCCTGCTCAGCTCTGTCTGAGCAGCTCAGCCAGGTCCAGTGGATGAGGCCAGCACAGGATCCTGGGGAATCTCCTTTGCCAGGATTGTACATGGAGGTTTGGAAAGCATTGGTTTATGGAGTTCTTTTCCCACCTCAGAGTTGAATAAGACACCCCTTTCTTCTCAGATTAGGTACAAAAATGTCTTTCCTATAAGCTTAGTGTTGCTCAGAGGACATATTTGAAATGTGTTAAACCTTCGAGGAACACACTAGGGACATGCTGCTGAACACAGATGATGTCCCAGAAAGATGATGATTCTAGGAACCTTCTCTTCTTGGGTTTAATGTAGGAACAAGCTGGACAAACAGACCTTCCACACCAGTCACACAGACTTCCTGTGTCTGGTGGCTGGACAACTTGGTGCAGTCTAGGGATAAAAGGACAGAAGATGAGATCACATAAATGTGACTGTAGGGTATAGATCATTTCTCAGAATGTCTAGCAGATGATGTGCAAAAGGCTGCTTACCTGCAGGAGAACAAGCAATTTGCAAAGACACAGAGAAATGGAAGCAACCAATTTAAGTAGCCATCCCCTGCAGAGAGCAGACTGTGGCTGGCATTAGGCAGGGCATACAACAGGTTGCCGAACCCTCAGAAAGGTTACAGGTTGACCATGATCAGGACATCCATCATTCCCTAAGGTTTTGGCAAGTGGTGTTGAGTGCAGAATCCAGTTCCCAATGTGAATGGTGGCCTTGAAGAAGCATGGAGAGACAGTTGGTGAGTAACCAGAGGGCAGAACTGGTGCAGAGAGAGGACTCAGCCCCCTTGGAGTCACTGCACATATGAGATTTTCAAAAGCTTTGCTGTGAGTGGCGTCTGAGGACTCAGGTAATGGAACTTGCTCTGATGGTTTTGGAGGTTTTTGCAAGTGGTTGGGAGGAGGCTGCCCTCTAGAGCAATGTGCAGTGTAGGGGAAGCTCTAGCCACTCCTACTTAGGGGCTGGCTACAGTTATGCCTGACCATGCTTTTGAGGGTGTGGTCAGGGTGAGGTAGAGTGATACTGCTTTTCTCTTTCGGTTTCACTTTTGTACTTGCTGGACATACTGCTGCCACACCGGCTGGCTAGGTTGCTCTGTAAGTAAGGCTTTTCCCTATTAAATACCCTTATATTTCTACCTGACTCCGTATTAGTAATTTCCCACTATAGTGCAGGGCTGCCTTCAGTGGACATTCTCCACCTGGGATCACACCCATCTTATGGCAGTGGGACAAGCTGACAAGGAATACTCTCCCTGGGGCAGAAAGGTGCATCCCATGGAAAAGACTATATTCCCTGAAAAGAAACAGGGGACAAAGCAGAGTCATTACCCAGAGGGCAGCCCATACTGTTTACTTGCTGAGACGGCAAGAGGCTATTTATTGTTTTACAAGACATACTTGGCCACCTTTGTAAATCAGCCCTGCCCTCTGAAAAAGACCCCATGTAAAGCCTGCCCTTCCCGCCTGGGAATTTACCTGATGACAGCTGACTGCGGTGGACAGCTGATTTTCTTTTGCAGGAGGAGGAGCCAGTGGCCATACTGCCTCCTGGACATTTGACCTGGCTCAACTGTGGGATGTCCACATCTCAGCCAGACCAATCCCCAACCCATAGCTCACAAGCCATGGATCTGGGGCTCGACATCTTCAGAACTACAAGTAGAAAGTCACAGGAAGGAGACCTTCATGACTTTGGAACACACAGAACTTACTGAGAGACCCTGAATCACCTAAGCACCCCACTGTTCCTCCAAGGAATTTCTGCTTCCTTTGCCCATGCCCCCATCTCCTGCTCTCCCTGCTCTGATCAGCATCTGTGCTGTCCAATTGTAGCTCAACATGCTTGAGGTCACACTTGAAGGCATCCTCTGGGATCGTTCTTTCTGAAGGGACAGATTTTTAAGTTCATAAGGATGCCACAATTGGGCACAGCCATACTCTGTCACAAAGGAGAGCAGGAAAAGAATGAATAAAGAGGGATATTTGCCCTACCTGGTTCTGTGGGTGACTGCAGGATCCCGTTTCTTTGGAGCCAGCGTCTTGCAGGAGTCGTGTCTTCTCTTGGCAGGTGGCAGTCAACAGCACAGGTGTCTGAAGCAGTTCACCAATATTTTCTTGACCCCCTTCCAGATGGGGAACCTCTGGTTACAGGTAGAAGCTGGGCCAGCATCCTCAGGCTGGTCATGGGTGATGGTCTCCTCCTTTGTGATGCTGTCTTCCTGAGTTAGGGTCGCTAACTGGTTCATTGTCACTTCCAGAGTGATGGTTGCTTCCCGAATGATGTCTTCATGCTCCATGAGGGTCTTTTCCTCTGTGATGGACTCAGTCTGAGCCATGGTCACTCCATCAGCCGTGGTCACTTCCTTTGACCTTGTCTCATCCAGAGTCATGGTCACTTCATGTGCCATGTCCTCTTCCTGGGTTATGGTTGCTTCCTGTGTGATATCTTCTCCCTGGTTAATGGTCACTTCCTCTGTGACAGACTTTTCCTGGGTCATTGTTGTTTTTTGTGTGATGATATCTTTCTCATTCATGACCTCTTCCTGGGTGATGTTCACTTCCTTACTAATGTCTTCTTCTTGTGTGATGGCGTCTTCCCAGAAAGTATCCCCAGAGAAGGAGCCTCTGGGGGTTATACTCTGAGCTGTGTCCATGGAGCTCCAGAGTTCCTCTTGGTTACTGCAGCTAGATATGTTACCTATGTCACATGTGGTCTCATTGTTGCCTGGCCTACAAGAAGCAGTGTCCATTAAGAGAGATGGCTGGACACTAGCCATCAGGGAGCCACTTGACCCGATCTTAGAATCAGAGAAGTTCTCACTCATTTCCTCACTGCTGCACATGAGGAAAAGAGCACGATGATGGTTCTGGTGCACTAGGTGGGAATGGTAGGTCTTCGCTAACTGACAGCAGAGGGTGGCAGGCATGCTATGCCTTGTGCCAACCTGCCTGGCATTCTTCTTACTTTCCTTCTCTTAGGGTTAAGATGGCAAGGTGAAGTTCAGGGTAGCAGGCTCAGTAGCTCTCCTTATCGGCACAGGGAAGGCCTGAAGATCTGCCAGGTTGAGGACATGGCCTGGCTGCATAGGTTTCACCTGCTGATGGCCTCAGTCGCCCCCAAGAGACTGGTGTTGGAGAATCAGGTAAGTGGCCATCACCTGGTTGTAGTTTTGGTCTCTCAGAGAATCAATGATTTCCTCAGTCTTATACCCCATGACTGTCATGGTGCTGACAATGCCAGGGCTCACAGTGCCAGGGCATTTCTGTGTGGAAATAGGTGGTGAAAACCAATCAAGGGGCGCCTCATGATTTGGCCAATGGTGGGCCTCCTGTCCTGGTTGAACATCAGCATTTCGACGATGACATTGAAAATATCTATGGAAACATGCTGAGGTATTGTGAAATTTGCAGCCACTATCTGACGCCTCACACCTTCAGAAGAGCTAGCCCAGAAGGGAAAGCGCCCGACCACCATGAGGAAGAGGAGCACACCTAAACTCCAAATATCACTGGCACAGCCATCATAGGCCTTCTCTACCAAGAGTTCCAGGGCACAGTAGAGCAGAGTGCCACAGAAATCACTCAGCTTCTGCCCTCGGGTCATTTTAGCCAGCAAGGCCAAAAATCACACAACTTGGCATTAACCCTGTAGTCGAGTAGTATGTTATTGGCCTTAATGTCTCTATGGGCAATATGGTTATTATGGCAGTACTGCATTGCAAAGAGAATCTGGGTAAATAGCCTTTGTGCCTCGCTCTCCTTTAAGGACCCCAGTTCCAGAATGTGTCGAAGAAGATCTCCCTGTGATGTGTGCTCCATCACTAAGTAGGTGGTGTCTCTGGATTGGACCACATGAAACAACTTAATGATGTTTGGATGCTGGAGAGATTTCAAGATACTGACTTAATTGGCAACAAGCAAGGCGTTCTTCATTCGAAGAACTTTTACAGCCACACAAGTTACAGTAAGAACATGGAAGTCCATTTTCACCTCAGAAAAATGTCCACTGCCCACAGTCATTGTCATCTTATAGTCAGTCATGAAGGACTCCTCACAGGAGTAGCAGGCCTCCCTTCCCTGCTCCATGATTAAGTCCTCATTGATATGGCTAGAATCAAATTCACAATGGGGAAGTTTAAAGAAAAGGGTCATATCAGGCCCAGGAGAATAGTGACAGCTACAAATTCCTATGTCCCAAAGAAAGACATTCAGAGACATTGCAGACAACCTAAAAAGGTAGTTAATACACACAAGGAGAAGAAAGCACCTTCCACAATATTGGACTACAGAATATGACACCTTTAGTGTTGTCAAGAATCATCCAGAAAATCATAGAAGAAAACAAAGGTCACAGAAGCTAAGAACAGATCATTTGGGAGTTCCATGATACTCTGACTGCACCTAACACTCACAGTAATGAGGCTCTAATAAAACCAGAGGCAAGAATTGATTCTAAGACAACAGACACCCAAAACCCAGAGTGTCCGGGTGGGCAGATGGCTTAGGAACATTCACTCAAAGAGGAGGCAGCTCCTGACTAACTGGGATGTTGTGAAAAGATGCTGTGTTCCATGGCGCCCCAGGGCCTCAGACTGACATCTGTGGGGGCTAAAGATGATATTATTCTTCACATGGTACCCATTAGGCCTGAGACTTCTCATAAAAGCCCAGGATCCCAGAAACAGTGGCATTTCAAAATGATCAAGAAAATATTTGTCTTCCAGTACATAAGACAACAGGTGTAAGAGATGGAGCTATTCCCTGGCACCCTAGGCCCTTCTCTCTAACAAAATTCCTTAGCTTTGTCAAGCAGAAACAACAGAAATTGGTTGTTTCTGGACACCCAAAAGATATGATCTAGTACCTGGCAACTGAGTGTTTAACAGAACTACTCTCTAACTCTAATTGGTACTTTGTATGTATTGCCAAATGAAGAAGGAAATCTTGAACTCAGTTTATGAAGTCTTTTCTTAAAGGCCACATGTTTTGCTGTGTGGCCAATCTCTGGTGCTCCTGAGTCCCCATTAGTTATTCCTGTTCTATTAGGATTCAAGTTTCAACAGGGTGTTTTCAGGACACAGACACATATTTACACACACACACACACACACACACACCTGACAATCAAACATGATACCACTAGCTGTGGCCAGCCTGAGCAGAGCCCTGCAGGGTCAGCTGATGCACCTTACATAAGAGCTCAATGTCAAAGCCAGCATGCCTAGAGTCTGTGTGAATAAAAATAATAAAAATATCTTGGATCAGAGTTTGGAGCCAGAAAGACATCAAAATCCCAACACAGTTTTTCACAGACATTGAAAGAATAATACTCACCTTTATATGGAAAAATAAAAAACCCAGGATAGCCCAAACAACTCTTTACAATAAAGGATCTTCTGGAGGCATCACCATCCCCGACGTCAAGCTCTACTATAGCTCCATAGTTCTGAAAACAGCTTGTTATTGGCACAAATATAGATCCCAATGGAATCGAATTGTAAACCCTGATATTGACCCACACACCTACGAATACCTTATTTTTGACAAAGGTACTAAATCTATACAATGGAAAAATGTAGCATCTTCAACAAATGGTGCTGGTACAATTGGATTTGGACATGTAGAAAATTGCAGATAGATTCCTACCTGTCACCATGCGCAAAACTTAAGTGCAAATGGATCAAAGATCTCAGCATAAATCTAGCCACACTGAATCTTCTAGAAGAGAAAGTGGCAATTACCCTTGAATAAATTGGCACAGGAGACTGTTTCCTGAACATTATGTCAGTAGCACAGACATTGAGGTCTGCAATTAATAAATGGGACCTCCTGAAACTGAGAAGCTTCTGCAAGGCAAAGGAAACAGTCAGTAGGACAAAATGACCACCCACAGAATGGGAAAAGATCTTCAC